GAACTGCGTGCGTCTTGCGGAAGAACATTGTAGCCGGAGCTACTTCTCTGTGTCTGTGGCGAATCACGCCGGTACTGGGCTACTCCGCAGCGGTACCTAGAACCAGTCTAAATAGTCCGATTATAAACACTTATTATAGGTGTACCGTAGTGATTCAGGACAAGCCAAAAGCACGGTTTGGAAAATGGATTCATGGTGTACTCGCTTATTATATACATTTTGTACATTTTGAACACAAAAAAGTTACGGACTGCAGCTTTAAATGATGTAAAAACCCCAGTGTCTTTTCTGAGAGATTGAATTGCTCTCCCTAGTGGACAAAACTGTACATGTATAAATACAGTATATACTCAGCTGTGTGCTATAAATGTTATACTACAAATGATAATTATTATATACATTGATAATAATAATATAATAACAATACCAATGTAATAAAAACATTTCTCATTGTTATTGATGTTTAAAAAAAGTTGTTCTGCTTAATATTTTTGTGGAAACCATTATTGTTTCTGAGGGGAATTTCTCCTGGATTTTTTTTTCATGAAAAAAAAGAAAAGAAAAAAAAAACCGAGCATTTATTTGAAATGGTAATCTTTTGTAATAATATAAAAGTCTTTACTGTCACTTTTTGATCAATTTAATGCATCCTTTCTGAATAAAAGTATGCATTTCTTTGAAGAAATTAACATTGAACTGTGATGTACCTGTATGTGAAGAGCACAATAACGGTAACTTTATTACTAAAAACACCAATAAGCAGTATGCTTCATACATAGACATAATGAGAATCCAGAATGTGACGTCAGTGACCACAACAAAGCTTAAGAGTGAGGATGCGTTCACAACCTCAGTAACTGCTGAGAATCGCACTCTGTTCTCAGAACTGGGTTATTTCCAGTATTATTTCTCAGGTGCACTTTAAAGACAAGCTAAAGATGCCATAACTGACTGCACCTGCTTGTACAGAAGATGCATGCAGCAGATAGAGGAGCTTTGTTTAGGAGGGTTGTTTATTTGTCCCTACACTCAGCTTCTATTATAGTGACGTTTTGTCACACTCCAGGACTCGTGTTTCAAAGAACAGGCCATCTCTGTACGTGGACTCTGTGTCATTGTCCCTTGAAGTGCTGTCTGTCATGTGGAAAGGCTCTGGCAGCTGTAGCATCTGTCCTCTGTAGCTAGGATTCGGATAGCAACAGGATTTCATAGAGCTCAAGTCAGTAACTCCACCCACTTCGTCTTCCTCCTCTTCCTCTTCAAAGACGACAAGCCCAAAGTCTTGCAGTAAAGTGCTCTGCTCAGGAGTCACGTTCTCCCTGCGTTTGCCGAGATCTTGGCGCAGCAAGAGAACGAATTCGTGCACCTCCTCTATCATCGGCCTCTGGTCCTGCGACAAAAACATTTTCTCATTTGGAATAACTTGCACTAATGACTCATGCACAATTGATTTAATTACAAAATATACTCTACATTTATTTTGCATCAAATTTATTAGTAGGTCAAGTCTATAATTTATGTAAATAGGGTGTGCAGCCTAGCTTTCCTTTACTCTTTTTCTTTGGCTGATAGCTGCTTGTAAGGTACATCAATGCAAATGCGCTGATGTTACGTGTTGTGGTTGGTATTTTGAACGCACCACAGATTTTTTTTCTGCTAACAGTGAAGGGAGATTTCAGAATTTGGGTCATTATAATGTGTAGCATATCCTGCCATGCCTTTTTAAAATATTGAGGCTGTTTTGTTGGAAATGCTTCGATTCTTCAGTGTTGCTAACCTGCTCTTCCGGACATCTGAATTCTGCTGCATCAATCACAGGACTGGGTACCTCAGGTAACAGCTTCAATCTGTAAAGCATATTTTGAAAATAAATTCAAAATTACAAAAACTAAATTGTAATATTACAAGAACAAAGTTGTAATATTAAAAAAAATATATCAAAAAGTCAAAATTATTCGAATAAAGTAGTAGTATTAGAATAAAGTTATAGTATTACAAGGATAAAGTTGTAATATTTTGAAAATGAAGTCAAAATTATGACCGATATGAAATTAAATTGTAATATTTTGCAATAAAGTCAAAATGAGAAAAACAAAGTGGTAACAAATTTGCAAGATTTTAAGAATAGACTAGATTATGATCAGTACAAGAATAAAGTCAAAATTATGAGAATAAAGTCATCGTATTACAAGAATAAAGTTGTGATATTTTGAAAAAGTCAGAAATATGACCAATACAAGATTAAAGTTGTAATATTTTGAGAATAAAGTCAAAATGATGAGATGAAGTCACTGTAGTATTATATTAAAGTCATAACATTTAAAAAAAAAAAGAGTCAAAATAATAAGTATAAAGAGTTTTAATGTTTTAAGAATACATAAAAATTACAAGACTAAAGCTGTATTTTAAGAATAAAGTCAAAATTATGAGAATAAAGTTATTTTGAACAAAAAAGTGGTATTATGGGATCAAAGTCGTAATATTTTGAGAATAAAGTCAAAATGATGAGATGAAGTCACTATAATATGATATTAAAGTCATAATATTTCAAAACAATTGTCAAAATAATAAGAATAAAGAGTTTTAAGAATACATCAAAATTACAAGAATAAAGCTGTATTTTAAGAATAAAGTCCAAATTACGACCAATATTAGATTAAAGTTGTAATATTTAGAGAATAGTTAAAATTACAGCACATACAAGATTAAAGTTGCAATAATTTATGAATAAAGTCAAAATTATGACAAAGTTATTTTGAACAAAAAAGTGGTATTATGGGATCAAAGTTGTAATAATTTTAGAATTGAGTCAAAATGATCAGAAATTCAAAGCAATACAAGATTAAAGTTGTAATATTTTAGGAATGAATTCAAATTTACTAGAATAAAGTATTATTTTGAGATTAAATTCAACGCATTACCACCAATGCGAGATTAAAGTTGTAACGTTTTAATGCGATTTTCTAGGCCGATATGGCTAGGAACTATACTCTCGTTTCGGTGTAATAATCAAGGAACTTTGCTGGGTGCAGCAGGTGCAATGATATTACGCAGCGCTTGAAAATAGGCTTATTGGAAGTTACCTAGCTGGGGACTATTTTCAGGTGCTGTGTAATATCATAGCGCCTGCTGCACCTATGGTACGGCAGCAAAGTTCCTTGATTATTACACCGAAACGAGAGTATAGTTCCTATTTGTATAGGAACATATAGTTCCTTTTCATTTTCCGTCGGTCTTAGTACACGATGTAACTACAGAAGAGTCAAGTTTTAAATAGGAAAAATATAGAAGCTCTTTGGTTATTTTTGAGCGAGATGCTAACGGTCTAATCCGATTCAATGATCTATGCTAAGCTACATCTAAAAGTGCTACCGCCAGACCCGGAGATCGGCTGAATGGATTCGAAAACGGTAAAACTCCTATTTTTATATCCTATTAAATTAGCCTATTTTCAAAAATAGTGTAGTGTTCCTTTAATACTTACATCCCAGAAGAGATTAATATCCCTGGTACCATTTTTCGGGTTATTTTCTACCCAGCGTATTACAGGTCGGCGCCTGATTTCTGTAGAGAGGTGACATCTGTTAACCGAATATTTTCAGATGCATGCTTTTGAAACTGCAGCATTCATTGATGGATACAGCTGAAATCAAACCTGAGGGAACATCCACCATTTGGCTCCAGTCACTCCGGAGAGCATGTAGTGAGTCTTTACATAGATGTGACTTCAGTTTGGCCTGCCGCCTCAGTTGGATCTGGTAGATAGTCTGGCTCTGTAGATGTAGCATGTGGAAATCTACAAGCACATCTCAATCAGTTTTGTATATTTTGGGAAGGATGGGCACAAAATTTCAACCTCATTAGAAATACGTGACTGCAAAACCTGTTGCTCCGGTTACATTTTCCTGCACTTGTCAGATGCGGGTTTATTAAACAGCACAGTGTCACGAAAAAGCATGCCAAAAAACATGTGCACAAAATGGTTGCAATAACAGATGGATAATATGTTGCTTGCAGTAGGGATTCACAATGATGATTATGCTTAATAAATTCTCTCAGTTTATTAAGCATAATCATCTGTGATATCTGCCAGGTTATGTATCCTATCTTGCACTGGTAATAAGCCTTCGCAGTCTTTTGAAGAGTTAAAAATTAACATTTCAAATTGAAATTAATTCATGAAAATTGAACATTTCAAGAGTTTAAAATCCCCCAATCAGGCTTATTTTACTTTACCTACAGACTTTACTTAATCGTCCCAACCTCACGCTTTCCCTGGAAAAAGTACGCAAAAATAAGCATTTAAACAGTGATGAATTGAATCTTACGGAGCCCCGCACACGACATGCAAGAAAAAATAAATAAATCGTTCGCACAATTTACCAATTCGTTCCCTCGATGTACTAAAACGTGCACACGATTATTATTTAATTCCCTCGATTTGCTAACTCGTGCGCACAATTTACTAATTTGTTCTCTCGATTTATAAATCGTGTGCACGATTTAACCCTATTATTTTTTTCCTGCATGCCATGTGCGGGGCTCCATAGAATCTAAAATGGCTGTAATCATTTGTGTGGAAAGGAACAAAAGTTGTTGGTGTTTTACTGCCTCTAGTGTTCATTTCACTTAGAAACTGCCTATGTATAGGAACATTTTTGCAGTTTTTGGAGTCACATATTTCCAGTGAGCCTAGGTTGCAACCTTCAAATATTAAGATCGTTTAAAGGGGTCATACATAACCATTACGTTTTTTATTCGAGTTTTTGCACCAAAAACTGTAGGTGCTACACAAAACCAGATTTGATAACCCGTTCCCACATTTTACTCTTTAGATTTAGTTTTATTGGCTGGAATGTACAGTGTTGACATACTATTCTTACTACTATGTCTTATTGAACTAAAATCATATTTAAAAAAAAAAGTGAGTTCTGGAAATTACAGAACGTTTTCATAGTACACTGAATTCTTTTATTTAAAAAAGAATTTAAAAAAAACATTGTTATTTTTTGAATAATGCATTTTGAATATGTCGTTAACTCTTATTTTATAAACACAAGGACAAATCACTGTTCAGACCATTCAGACTACTTTATTTCTGCACATGTGTAATTTGTATTAAAAGAATAAGGACTCTAACCTTCAATAGTGCTGTCCTTAGTTTCAAATGTTGTCTACAATCGGAGAACATAATATTAGCAAAATAACTTTTTTGCTAATTTATTAAATCTTTAATAAAGATTTTCCGAAACATCTTACATTCTGCCATTCAGAGTCCCTTTCTCTCCATCTGATCTCATATATAGCACCTCTGTTATCCTTCGGTTTGTCCAGTGTGAGATTCAGGATTCCAGCTGACCTTTTCATGCTGATAATCTGAGGTTTACTGTATTTGACTGTTGGCAACATAAGTATACATTAGCAAAATGTTACGCTGCATTGATTTCTGATCCCACCATATGTATTGGCCCTCATTAATCTAGTATAAACCTACCCATGCATTCAAGGATGACTGAGATTTTGCTAGAGTTACAGGTGAGGTTGCCCACTTGTGTCTGTACCCATATGTCTGTCGTTCTTGACGGGATTCCTAGTTCCTCCAAGAGAATGGTTACCTGTGCTGGTTTGCTGCACTTCACATGCGTACGAAAACTGTTTTTTTCAGCGTCCCTGTGAAAGTTAGCTTTATGATGACTGACATGCATTTTCAAGCCTCAGTATCTGTTAAACCCAAGTTTTTTACACACAGTCTTTCATAGGTTTACACTTTCTTGCAACTATGAAGACAACATGATTTGTTTGGGTTACTTTCATGCCTTGTATTGGTTGAACTCACCATATATGGAGAGTGTGTGTTTGGCTCTTCCCAGGGTTTCTCTCATCCCATTCACAAATGAAGTCCTCTTCTGGTCTAGTTGAAGTTTTGTAACAGTGTGGACTACTTGTAGGCACACATCGTGCTGCTTTAAGAACATTTAAATGATGTAAAAAAACAACAACAACATCTGTACTGTTGTACAGATGTACAGTAACATCTGTACTGTACAACATCTGTATGCTACACACACAAGGCATTTGTCTTGGGGACAGGAGCTTTCACGAAAAAGTATAGACATATATAGATTATGTGTGAATAAAAAACAAAAAATACAATAATGAAAAAGACAATTACATTTAAATAAAATACAATGCATTAATAATTTTTTTAATAGTTTTTGAAAGAAGTCTCATTACTTATTTGATCAAAAAAAATCTTAAGATCTGTAATACTGAAATATTATTACACTTTTTATATACATTGTAAAAATGTAATTTATTCCTGTAATGCAACGCTGAATTTTCAGCATCATTACTCCAGTCTTGACAGAAATCATTCTAATATGATTATTATTATTCTTATCAATGTTGAAACGTTTTTGCTGCTTATTATATTTTTTGGAAACCATGACAAAGTAGCATTCAAGTACTTTTTTTAAAGAAATAAATATTCATCAAGAATGTATAAAATTGACATGAAGTGATAGCAAAGACATTTTAATATTACAGAAGACTTCTACTTCTACTAAAAATTGTTTTCAACATAATAATGTTTTCTTATTTTATTTTGTTTTCTTATTTTGTTTTGTTTTGTTTTCTTATTTTATTTTATTTTGTTTTCTTATTTTATTTTGTTTTGTTTTGTTTTCTTATTTTATTTATTTATTTATTTTCTTGTTTTGTTTTGTAGATTTAAAAAAAATAAAAAATCAAGCAGTAAAAATTGTTTTCAGCATAATAATATGCACCAGAATGAGTTCTGAAGGATCATGTGACACTGAAGACTGGAGAAATGATGCTGAAAATTTAGCGGTTTGTCACAAGAATAAATTAGATTTTAAAATATTTTAAGATAGAAAACCATTAGTTTATATTATAATAATATTTCACAACTTACTGTATTTTGGATCAAATAAATGCAGTCTTGGTGAGTGTAAGAGACGTCTTTCAAAAACATTAAAAAAATCTCAATTAGGCCTATTCCAAACCTTCGACCAATAGTGTATAACCATTCGAAGTCATCTATTTACATTTCAGTAAGTATGTGACTTTTTAAATGGGTCTGATGTAATGATAAAAACATCGTCAAAAAAGGCGCAATTTGTTTACATCCTGTGGTTTATAGTTGTTTAATGGCGGTTTAGTCAAATGGCGTTTGTAGGTTCACAGCACTGATAAAATCTACACACCATGACACAAGAGCACAATCATCTGAAATCTATATCATTACTTCCGTAAAAGTCTAGCAATCTAATCTCAATGTCATCTGCGGTGTTGTGAATGTGCTATCAGCCATGACACAAAAAAGTCAATAACATACATACCTTCAGTCAGACTGACAGAAACAACAAGCACCAGCACAGCCACTCTCATCCTCATCGCTTCTAGTGTTCAGAAAGCTCCTCATTTGTGAGACATGGCCAATACATAGGCTAGCCAGAGTTCACGTTAACGGTCGCTGTGTCTGAAGTCATCTAGACGACAGAAAGCTGAAGGTGTTTAGTCTGTACGTACTAGTCATGCGTGTTTCTGGGGCAGAATGAAGTGCTAACTACTGCAACACCACAAACCACAACACGAAAGCAGCAGGGGAAGCTTGTCTCACTTCATGAGAAAAAACACGTTTGGTTACCTGTTACACCCCTGAATGTTGTGCCTTCACCTTCAAATTGGAACATGCTGGACGGAGATGCTAGTTGGCTTGTTTACAGATCATAAACCTAATTGTGCGAGCCTATTGACATCGCTTTCCAACCAAATCATCATTAGCCTGACGTGGGAGGCATTTAGTAAAGCGATGCTTCAGAGTAATCAGGATTTGACCCCTGAAACCGACTCCATTTTTACATCCTCTTTTCATTTGTTAGTGTCTCCCTCTTCGTAAACACACAAACCCTTCAAAACATCATGAACTCAAAAAGAATGTAAATACTTGTAACTATGTAAATACTTTATACCTGACTTAATAAATGATGGCAAAAATCCCCTTTTACTCAAACATCACAGCAGTAATACCTGTAATGATGCCTCATAATGTCATCAACTGAACCTTCTATATTACTAATGCCCAATTATTAAAAAAAATATATATTATTTTATTTTGTTTTCTTATTTTGTTTTGTTTTCTTGTTTTGTTTTGTTTTCTTATTTTGTTTTGTTTTGTTTTCTTATTTTATTTTATTTTATTTTGTTTTCTTGTTTTGTTTTGTTTTCTTATTTTGTTTTGTTTTGTTTTCTCATTTTATTTTATTTAGTTTTCTTGTTTTGTTTTCTTATTTTGTTTTGTTTTCTTGTTCACTTCATGAGAAAAAACACGTTTGGTTACCTGTTACACCCCTGAATGTTGTGCCTTCACCTTCAAATTGGAACATGCTGGACGGAGATGCTAGTTGGCTTGTTTACAGATCATAAACCTAATTGTGCGAGCCTATTGACATCGCTTTCCAACCAAATCATCATTAGCCTGACGTGGGAGGCATTTAGTAAAGCGATGCTTCAGAGTAATCAGGATTTGACCCCTGAAACCGACTCCATTTTTACATCCTCTTTTCATTTGTTAGTGTCTCCCTCTTCGTAAACACACAAACCCTTCAAAACATCATGAACTCAAAAAGAATGTAAATACTTGTAACTATGTAAATACTTTATACCTGACTTAATAAATGATGGCAAAAATCCCCTTTTACTCAAACATCACAGCAGTAATACCTGTAATGATGCCTCATAATGTCATCAACTGAACCTTCTATATTACTAATGCCCAATTATTAAAAAAAAAAAATATTATTTTATTTTGTTTTCTTATTTTGTTTTGTTTTCTTGTTTTGTTTTCTTATTTTGTTTTGTTTTGTTTTCTCATTTTATTTTATTTAGTTTTCTTGTTTTGTTTTCTTATTTTGTTTTGTTTTCTTGTTTTGTTTTGTTTTGTTTAGTTTTCTTATTTTATTTTATTTTGTTTTCTTATTTTGTTTTGTTTTCTTATTTTATTTTATTTTGTTTTCTAATTTTATTTTATTTTGTTTTCCTATTTTGTTTTGTTTTCTTATTTTATTTTATTTTGTTTTCTTGTTTTGTTTTGTTTTCTTATTTTGTTTTGTTTTCTAATTTTATTTTATTTTGTTTTCTTGTTTTGTTTTGTTTTATTATTTTATTTTATTTTGTTTTCCTATTTTGTTTTGATTTCTTATTTTATTTTATTTTGTTTTCTTATTTTGTTTTGTTTTCTTATTTTATTTTATTTTGTTTTCTTATTTTGTTTTGTTTTGTTTTCTTATTTTATTTTATTTAGTTTTCTTGTTTTGTTTTGTTTTGTTTTGTTTGCTTTGCTGTGTGTCTGTTCTCTGAAATCTCAGCCAGGGTTATTTATAGTTTTTTTTATATCTGTGTGTATGTGTATGTGTGTGTGTGTGTGTGTGTGTGTGTGTGTAACAATAACTAATACCAAGTAATACTAAAACTGAAACAAGAATTCATAAAAACTAACAAATAAAACTACTAAAAAACACACAACAAAATTACTAAAACTATAAAAATAAAAAATGATTCAAAATATTAATACAAATTTGTATAGTATCATAATTATACTAAACTAGTAACTATAGTATTTCAATGACACTGATCTCAGCTCAGTCTGTCTACGTTTCTTAAGACTACTGTAAATCCTGTGTATTTTACCTTGTCGGTAAACCTATGAAGGTTTCTGTCAAATGATCAGGGCAATTTGGTTTCACTTCTAATGTGTTTGTGGGTGAGGTGAATAGGAAGGCTTCAATTTAACCGCACTTTGTGGCTACTCTTACTGTGATATTAGCTGCTTCCTGAAGTTATTAATAGTAACTGTGTAGCTAAGCAGTGAAGGTAAGTTGAGTCTTCATCTGAGAGAAGAGCTTTCCAACTTCACTAAAGTCTCTTCAGATCTTATGCAAAATTAGAACGAAAGTAGATCAAAAACCGTGCTTTTATGTCTTGTTTGTGATGAAGGCACATTTGTAAAAAAGGTCAATGGAAAGGTTTTCTGGAAATGGTGACATTCATTTTCTGTGACGTTGACTCTTGTGCAAATCTCAAAAACAAATAATAAATATATTAATGTAACTCACTTATAAAATGTTCCTATGTAAAAATAAAAAAATAAAAAAATACTAAAACATTTACAGTATGTTCCTAGCTATTACTGAAACTAAGGTTTCCATGCATGCACTGCGCTCAGTTTTGTTCTTATTATGACTGAGAGAAAGTATTAAAGTAACTAAATGAATTACAGTTCAAATTTAATTAAATTCCCAGTCATTACATACAGTGGGTACGGAAAGTATTCAGACCCCCTTAAAATTTTCACTCTTAACAATATTGCAGCCATTTGCTAAAATCATTCAAGTTAAGTTTTTTTCCTCATTAATGTACACACAGCACCCCATATTGACAGAAAAACACAGAATTGTTGACATTTTTGCAGATTTATTAAAAAAGAAAAACTGAAATATCACATGGTCCTAAGTATTCTTAAATGATTTTAGCAAATGGCTGCAATATAACAAAGAGTGAAAAATTTAAGGGGGTCTGAATACTTTCCATACCCACTGTATATTTAATTTTTATATTAATTTGTTTATGTTTTATTTACAGTCAGGGCCGGATTTACGCATATGCATTCTAGGCACGTGCCTATGCTTGCTCGTCCATGGGGGGCCCAAACACAGTGAAGAGATATATAATATTTTTGTTATACAGGTGCATTTCAATAAATTAGAATGTCGTGGAAAAGTTCATTTCAGTAATTCAACTCAAATTGTGAAACTTGTGTATTAAATAAATTCAATGCACACAGACTGAAGTGTTCTCTCGGTTGGTTGTGCATCTTTTTCTTCCACACTTTTTCCTTCCACTCAACCTTCTGTTAACATGCTTGGATACAGCACTCTGTGAACAGCCAGCTTCTTTGGCAATGAATGTTTGTGGCTTACCCTCCTTGTGAAGGCTGTCAATGATTGTCTTCTGGACAACTGTCAGATCAGCAGTCTTCCCCATGATTGTGTAGCCTAGTGAACCAAACTGAGAGACCATTTTGAAGGCTCAGGAAACCTTTGCAGGTGTTTTAGAGTTGATTAGCTGACTGGCATGTCACCATATTCTAATTTATTGAGATGCACCTGTACTATGGGATATCTACAACAGTAAAAGAACCAAAAACCACAAAAGACATTGAGCAAATAAATATAACAAACAATAGGGTAAAAATGTCAAACTATTTCCATGTCTTCAACCTTTTTATGTACGGAAATCATGCTTTCTTTCTCCCAGTCTCTCTCACAGACGCACACACAGTACAGACATGCACTCGCGCGTTTTTCAGTAGCGAGGTTCTTGAAGCAGTTCAACTTAAAAATTCGCTATTAGTAGACGCTGAACACTGCTGAGAGATGCACAGACGCAAGTAGGCCTATTCACATACACTTAATCTCTCTCTCCCTCTCTCTCTTTCGCTCTCTCTCTCACTCTAATAACGGCATTAGACTGCATTAATAACTGCCTGCATATCAATGGCTCAAGCCTCTGTTATTAGCTCTAAAATTATGTTTTGTAATTTGCAACGGAAGGTTTGGGATGAGGTGCGTAAAACATTAGCTAGTTCAACACACTTCAGGACAGAAACATGTCAAATGTCTTGAAATAAATCATCTCAACAATTGATGTGTGATTGTGACTCCAGGCCGTTTTAGCTCTAAAACGACGTTTTTGAATTTGCAACAGAAGGTTTGTGATGAGGTGTGTAAAAATGAGCTAGTTCAACACACTTCAGGACAGAAACATGTCAAATGTCTTGAAATAAATCATCTCAACAATTGATGTGTGATTGTGACTCCAGGCCGTTAAAATTATTAGAGAAATAATGCACTCCCGAAGTGGTTATGTGGCCATGACGCCGCACCTATTAATGGAATGGTCTTTCTCACTTCTCAAACAAATTAAGAACTACATTTGATTTTTATTGACTGAACGCAAGCGCTTATTGCGATAGAAAACACTGTAACGGTTTCCACTGATTAAGAAATATTTTTGTTTGCTTGGGTGGTAATATTAGGCCTATTATATTAATAGGGAAGGGGGGCCCAAAAATGTATTTTGCCTATGCCACGAAAAGTGGTAAATCCGGCCCTGTTTACAGTGTTTATGGCAGAAAATAACTTAAGCCAGAACTGATTTGACATTAAAATTCTAAATGCAGCAATTATTCTTAAATCTTGGAAATGTTTAACATGTACATCACAAATTCTGTTATCTGTTTTTTAAACTAAAACAAAATCGGTATTATCTTCCTGTTTTTGCACATATAAAGAACATTGCTGAAAATAAATAACTCAAATAAATAACTCTGGGTTTATTTTATTTAAAATAATGAAATGAATAAGATGTCGATAGATCATATTATATTTATAATTTGAGTAAAAATAAGAGGCATCTGA